ATAGTGAACATCAGAATCAAATGATATTTAAGTCCCTTCTAAATCCTAGAGAATTTGACTTCTGTCATTGAGACATGAAAATCTATTTTTAAAAAAGCTATTAGCTCCATTTTAAGATAAAATTATTATCCCAAGGGTCTGGCCCAAGGCCAAGGGGTTAAGTTCACGTGCTCTGCTTCGGTGGCCCAGGGTTTCGCCGGTTCGGATCCTGGGCGCGGACATGGCATCCCTCATCAAGCCATGCTGAGGCGTCGTCCAACATGCCACAACTAGAAGGACCCACAATTGAAAATATACAACCATGTACCAGGGGGCTTTGGACAGAAAAAGGAAAAGTAAAAACTTAAAAAAAAGATAAAATTACTATCCCAGTAAGTTACATAAATTTATGCAAAAGTTCTTAAAATTTTGAAAGCATTTAACAATAAATTTCAATAGAGTGGAAAGACTTTAAAGTTTATTTTTTTGATGTCCTATGACAAAGACCTGATGGTAGAAGGGTGTGGAGAGAGATGTAGAGAGGTAACCCAATAAAACCAGAATATAAGCAACTTTAAATGGTAGAGAAAGTCATTTAAATGTTAAAATGTTTACTTTAACTTTATATACTAGTTTTATATTTGCTGAAAAACTAATACACACACGTAAAAATTTCAAGCATAGACACAGACAATAAAAAGGAAGTCTCCCACCTATCCCAGGCCACTTCCCCAAAAGCAAACCTGTTAAAATTTGTGTATTTTTCTAAAATCGTCCCAGGAATTCACAAGTACAAAGAGAATATATATACGTATGTGCATCCTCTTTTTCTAACTGTTTTAATAGAATCCAGCATCACTTAACGGTGATACGTTCTGAGAAATGTGTTAGGCAATTGTGTCATTGTGCAAACATCACAGAACGTACTTACACAAACCCAGATGGTATAGCCTACTGCACACCTAGACATATGGTACTAAGCTTATGGGACCACCACTGTATATGCAGCCCATCATTGGGCAAAACATCATTATGTGGTCCATGACTCTATACAGTGGGAGAATATAAGTGTACTTGCTGTTTTCTCTTAACAAAAGATCTATTACCCATGCAGAGCTTAACATATATCTTTCCTGGAGATCATTTTACATGAACATAATACAGCAACTTCAGTCCTTCTCGTGGCAACAGAACATTCTATTATATGGACTTCCAAAACTTATCTAACCAGTCCTACAGTGACAGACATTCATGATCTGCTAGTACAGTCAATGTTGTAGCAAACATCTTCATGTGCACATATTTACAGCATAAACTACCAGAAACAGAATTTCTATACTGTTTCCCAAAAGTTATACCACACTCTGGTCAATATAGTGTATTACTGAACATAATGGGGATTACCCAATACATGAAAATGCTATTACATTATTTGAACTTACATTTAATTACAAACAAAGATAAGCATTTTTCAAACACTTATAAACCATGTGCACTTCTTATATCAATTTCTTGTGTGCCATATTTGTCCATTTTCTCCTTGGATTGCACTGTGATACAAACAATGAGAAGAGCAGTAGCCAATCTAATTAATAATAGGTAAACCGTGCATGTACATGTGTGTGTCTCAGGTGAGCAAAGTAACCTGAAAAACTTACTCCAGAGGGGAGGAAAAAAGGACTCAGGCAAGACTCTGTGTGAAACCAATCAACTTGGACACCATGAAATCAGTTACATTTAACTCAAAAGAACTCAAAATGTAAAAGTTACTGATCATTCTAAATCGGTGGTAGATTCAAAAGTAAAGCAATAACAAACCACAGAAACACACAATTAAAACAACCCTTAAAATATACATATTTATTTCATCTTGTTAAGCCAACTTCTAATAGATATTTAAGTTATTGCAAACTATATCAAATTAATCATTCCCTTGCTAGTTTACCTCAAATTTTTGCTAGAGTAAAAGGCTAAAAGTTTAACAATCACATTATCAATTATAAAGTTGACGAATTTCTGTTTCAATAAAGAATAAATACTTCACTATTCCTAGTTATTTATTCTCTATTATTTAAGACATCATTGTTCTCATACTTTGTGGGCTTGCTGTGAAAAAAAAATTAAAAATCTACTGAACAAAATAACACTTTCAGAAAGTCATGAAAGAAAATTTCCCTTTACTCTGAACTATGAACTGCTTCTTTAATTTGTTAAAATGACACTGATGCTAAATCTACAATATTAAATAAGGAAAATAAAAAGTAAATGTATTGAAAAATTACCACAACCAATCAAAAAATTAAGATCTCAAGGCACACAATTAATCTAAAATTTAAAAATGTTTCTATATATAAAAAGTTTATGTATATATGCAATGATCATTAAATGTAATAGAAGAAAGAGAAATATAATGGATGAAAGTAAGTATAATGGTGCGCCAGCCCCATGGCCGAGTGGTTAAGTTGGCGCACTCTGCTTCAGTGGCCCAGGGTTTCCCCAGTTCAAATCCTGGGCACGGACATGGTACCGTTTATCAAGCCATGCTGAGGCGGCATCCTACATGCCACAACTAGAAGGACCCACAACTAAAAATATACAACTATGTACCGGGGGCTTTGGAGAAAAAGGAAAAATAAAATCTTTAAAAAAAAAAAAACAGAAAGTAAGTATGTATAATGGGAGACATGCTACTATAATAGCAACAATAAATAAAATTAAAATTCCTAAGAGGGTTAACATCAAATAAATCTATATACAAATAACTTTGAAATGCTGAATAATACAAAAGAAAACAAATGACATGTTTTGGATAGAAAGATCAATTCTCCTCCAATTACTCATTATCATAATAAAAACATTTTTAAAGAATAAGACAATGCTAAAATTCATATGCAGACATAAATGAGACAGAAAAATTCATTAAAACATGAAAGGAGGAAAGACCAGCCCTGCTAGATTTTGTAAATTTTGTAAAAAATTTTACAAAAACACAAAGAAAATAAATTAAAAGCACTAGTATAAACCCAGGGAGCAGTAAATGTTTTCTTGACGGGCCAGACAGTAAATACTTTAGGATTGTGAGTCATAAGATCTGTGTCACAAGTACTGTACTCGGTCACTGCAGCATGGAAGGAGCCACAGATAATACATAAAAGAATGTGCAAGGCTATGCGGCAAAAAACTTTATTTACAAAATCAGTTGGTCGGCCTGCAGGCCATTAAGTTTACCAATCCCGGGTATACCAAATGTCAGTCTACAAAGTCCAGAAATTGTCCAGTCAAGATAAAATTAGTCTCTCAAAGCAGTGAGGAAAAGAGTTACCTAACAAACAAAACGAGGAGAATCGCATAACAAAAAAACGGGAGAGGGGCCAGACTAGTGGTTAAGTTTTGCACACTCTGCTTTGGCAGCCCAGGCCCAGTTGCCAAGCACGGGACCTACACCACTCACTGGTGGATATGCCGAGGCAACGACCCACACACTAAACAGAGGAAGACTGGCACATATGTTAGCTCAGGGCTAGTCTTCCTCAAGCAAAAGGAAGATTGGCAACAGATGTTAGCTCAGGGCGAGTCTTCCTCAAAATAAAAAAAAAAAAAAAGCAGGGGGAAAAAGTTGGATATATACATGACACCTTGAACCAAGATAAACTCCGACTGGATGGAAGATTAAAATACAGAATTGAAACAGAAATTGTACAGGAAGGAACTAAAGGGAAATTTTCTTATAATCTTGGAGTGGAGAAGGCATTTCAAACCATAACATGAAATCCATAGGCCATAAAAAAATTCAACCACAAGTTTAAAACCACAAACTTGAAACAGAACAGCAAAACCAACCACCTTAAGCAAAGCAAAACAACATCAAAGTAGAATATAGTCATAACTCACAACACAAGACAAAAGTCCAATTTCATTCATATATAAAGATCTCCAACAAGAAAGAAGAAAACAAGTAAAGCAACTGACAAACGGCAAAGAATATAAATAGAGAATCCCAGAAAAGGAAAGAGAAATGGCTCTTAAACACAAGATTTGCAACCTGATTCATATAAAAGATGCAAATTTAAAATGTCAGTGACAGTACTTTTCACTCAACAGTTTAGTAAATATCAGGAAGTTTAAGCACACAATGTATTGAGGAGGATAATGGAAAAGTGACATTATCACACAATTATCTACCACAAGTAAACCACATATATGCTTTAACCTACAATTCTACTTATAAGTAGGAATTTATCCTACGTAATTTTGCACCTGGGTAAAATGAGTGTTACAAGTTACTTACAGCAGCATTGTTTATAATAGAAAAATTGGGGGAAAAATAATGCCTACGAAGGGGAATTGGTTAAATAAATTATGGTACAAACATAAAGAAACACTACGCAGTCTTAAATAAGTGTTTTATATATTGGCATGGAATAATCTCCAGGATAAATCATTAACTGAAAAAAGTTGGTAAGTCCATTTAATATGCAACATTTGTGAAAGAGAGGACTACAAGAGAAGAAAAATGTTTACAATTAGCTGTTTATACAGAAACTCTATGATGCACGTGAGAGGATAAGAACTGCATGCCTGGGAGACAGGGGTAGGAAGGGAAAAATGTATAACACATCCTTTTATATTTAATTTTTTGGATTTTGAACCATTTACTTTTGGGATATATGCCTATTCAAAAAATTAAATACAGAAAGAGAACAGTATAATAGAAAAGAAACATACCAATACAACATTCAGTATAGAAGAGCTGACTGTATAAATGAAAATATTAGGAAAATTTCTCTTAATAACCCAAGAGGGTTTCATGAAGAACCTCCAAATGAATGAGTCTCACTTGCTTCAATTCTACCAGTAATATGGGCTCTGAAGCCAGACTTTACAGATTCCTTCCCAACTTTTTCCGTGTCTCAGTTTCTTTAGCTATAAAATGGGGATAACAGAACTTACCTTAAAGAGAAGTAAAGCCCTTAGAACATATTATGAGGAAGCACATAATAAACACGAGCTGTTAATAGTACCTGTGCTGCGGCCCAAATGCAGTCAATATGTTGAGTACTCAGTCTCCCTTCTGCTGCCAAAAAATTCAAAATCACTTGGCACTGTTTGATAATCTGGAAAAGAAAAACTTATTATAGTTAATTTTTAAAAACATTCCTCTCTCTTAATGCAGCAGAGAAGTCATGTAATTGTCCACAAACCTCAATATGTAAATTTGGTCCAAATATATGCTCTACCACATTGTTGCTTATAAGCCAGTCTGCAAGTTCTTTTGCAATGGACCTAAAGCCAAATAATAAAAATAGTTATTAATACATTAAAAAAATTAGCATCATTTTTTCCTGTGTCTAAAAGGCGAACTCAGTTGAAAACCTAAATTTGTTCACATAGAAATTATAAAGAAGTGATTATATACAATTAACTGTTTAGAATACTACAAAGAACAATTAGAATAAAATATAAGAAACATTAATAACTGAATGTACAATCAAGCAAAAAAAACCCCCTGAAAAGTTAGGCTAACAACTAACACCAGGTACACAGGTGAGAACAGCAAGTATAACACCTAATAAGTGATGTATTTTCTTACTCCAGGACTTTGCCTTCCCACTGTTTAACTTCCATAGTATACACTGAGGCATTCAGGGAAAGTTTCCCAATATGTCCTCTTTGGCAAGATAACATCAGGAAAGTAGGTTACCAAAAGGGTGGGAAAAAAGAACTATCTCCAAGTCAAACTGCAAGTCTCCTGCCTAATACTAATGAAGATCCCACCAAAGTGGTCCCCTCAAAAAAGATATCAAAGGACCATTCAGAATACATTAGTTACATTTACCAACATCTCATCCTTCATTTCAAAAAAAACACTTTTTATTTTAGAACAGTTTTAGATTATCCTTCATAGTTTAAAAAGAGTTATCAATTCTATTCTGAAGTAATACCTCACTAGCACAGAAGTTAACTTATTATGTTAGTTCTACCAATAAGGTAGTGTATCAGTTAACTATCTTTTACACCTTTGAGATATACATGACATATAATAAACTGAACATATTTAAAGTGTACCGTTTGATAAATTTAAGCTTAAGTATACATCTATGAATCCATCACCTCTGTCAAGATAACACATAGATCAACTCGAAAAGTTTCTTTATGCTCTTTGTGATTTCCACTCCTTTCCCAGTCCCCACAACCCCACTCCTCAGACAACCAGAGATGTGCTTTCCATTATTATAGTTTTCATTTTGTCAAATTTTATGTAAAAAATATGACACAGTATGCATTCTTTTGTTATCTGGCTTCTTTCACTCAGCATAAGATTTATCCATTTTGCTTCATTTATCAATAGCCCATTGGCTCTTTCCAGGTTTCGTAATTATGAATAAAGCTGTTATAAACATCTGTGTGCAGATTTTTATGTGGACGTAAGTTTTTAACTCCTTTGGTTAAATATTAGGGAGCATGACTGCTGGATCTTATAGTAAGAGTATGTTGAGTTTTGTAAGAAACTGCCAAACTGTCTTCTAAAGTGGCTGTACCTTCCTGTACTACCACCAGCAAGGAATGAGAGTTCCTGGTGCTCCACATTCTTGTCAGGTTTTGGCATTCTTGGTGTTCTGGATTTTGACCATTCTAAAAGGTGTGTAGTTGAATCTCATTTTTGTTTTAATTTGCATTTCTCTGATGAAAGAGGACATGTAACATCTTTTCATGTGCTTATCTGCCACCTCTATTATCTTCTTTAGTGAGGTGTCAAAGTCTTTGGTGTATTTTCTAATCAGGTGGTTCATTTTCTTACTTTTAAACTTAAGAGTTCTTTGCATATTTTGGATAGCAGTCCTTTATCAGATGTGTATTCTGAAAAGATTTTTCCCCATCTGTGGCTTCTCTTCTCATTCTCTTGACATTGTATTTCACAGAGCAGACATTTTTGAGTTTAATGAACTCCAGCTTACCACTTCTTTTTTTCAAGGATCATGGTGTTGTAAGCAAAAGGCCACTGCCATACCCAAGGTCATCTAGGTTTTCTCCTGTTATCTTCTAATAGTTATAGTTTTCCATTTTATGTTTAGGTGTCTGATCCATTTGAACCAATTTTGGTGAACAGTGTGAGGTCAGTGTTTAGATTCTTTTTTTTAGCATACGGTTGTCCATTTGTTTCAGAACTAATTGTTGAAAGACTATCTTCACTCCATTCTACTGCCTTTGCTCCTTTTTCAAAGATAAGCTGACTATATTTATACTGGTCTACTTCTGGGCTCTCCATTCTGTTCCAATAAGCCATCTGCCTATCCTTTCACCAATACCACGCTGTCTTGATTATGCTAACTTTTATATAAGTCTTGAAGGTGGGTAGTGTCAGTCCTGCAAATTTATTCTTTTCCTTTCAATATTGTGTTAGCTATTCGGGGACTCTTGCCTCTCCATATAAACTTTAGGGTCAGTTTGCTGACACCCACAAAATAACTTGCTGGGATTTTCAATGAGATTACAGTGAATCTATAGAGCAAGTGGGGAAGAACCAATACCTTTACAATTTTAAGTCTTCCTATCCATGGATATGGACTCTCTCTCCATTTATTTAGTTCTTCTTTGACATGCTTCATCAGAGTTTTGTAATTTTCCTCATATAGATGTTGTTTGTATTTTGTTAAATTTACACCAAAGTATTTCCTTTTTTGTGGTGCTAATGTAAATGGTATTGTATTTTAAATTTCAAGTTCCATTTCTTCACTGCTGGTATACAGGAAAGCAATTTACTTTTGTCTATTAACCTGTATATCCTGCAACCCTGCCGTAATTAGTTCTACAAATGTCAATGCTTTCAGGTTTTCTATATAGATAAAACCAGGTCATCTGCGATTCAAGACAGTTTTATTTCTTCTTTGCCAATCCGTATACCTTTTATTTCCTTTTCTTGCCTTATTGCATCAGGTAGGCCTTCCAGAACAATGCTGAAAAGCAGTGGTGAGAGGGAACACTCTCCTTGTTCCTGATCTTAGTACAAAAGCTTTGAGCTTCTCACCATTAAGTATGATGTTACCTGTAGATTTTTTGTAAGTGTTCTTTATCAAGTTGAGGAAATTGTCCTTTATTCATACTTTACTGAGAGTTTTTATCATGAAGGAGTATTCGATCTTGTCAAATGCTTTTTCATCTATTCACATAAGCATGTGCTTTTTCTTCTTTAGCCTGTTGATTACACTAATTGATTTGGAAATATTGAGCTAGTCTTGCATACCTGAGATAAAATCTCAGTTGGCTGTGGCGTATTATCAGTTTTATACATTGCAGGATATGATTTGTTCCTAATACTTTATGAGAATTTTTGCATCTACATTCATGAGAAATACCAGTCTGCAGTTTTCTTTTCTAGTAATGTCTTTGTCTGGTTTTGCTATTAGGGTGTTCTGCCCTCAAAGAATGAGTAATACAGGATTTCCTCTGCTTTTATCTTCTAAAGCACTATAGCAAATTGCTATAACGTCTTCCTTAAATATTTGGTAGAATTCACCAGTGAACACATGTGGAACTGGTGTTTTCTGTTTTTGAAAGGTTATTGATTGTTGATTCAATTTAATAGATATAGGCCTATTCAGATGAAATATTTCTTTAAAAATTTTTTAAATGGCTATTATAGAAGAACACAATGAAAAAATTAGTGATAGGTACATTCCGGGTGGAAGAAAATGTTTCAAAATAGGATATGCAGTAAAAAATCCCAAATTTTTTCATCTGTATAGATTATACATAAACTTAGAAGGACTGAATAATTCCTTTTCTTGTTTACACACACAAGAATTACATTTAAGTTTTGTGAATAAAATTTATTCTAAACACTAAAAAAAAGTTGTAAGTTAGCTATATGGGCCTCAAAAGGTAAAACATTAATACATAACTGGTAATGATGTATTTTACCTATTTCTGGTTAGCCCTACAGAAGTTGTGATCTATGATTAAATTCTCTGATTTGCATAACATACAAAGAAACAATTGAAGAACTAAAAATAATTCGAAAAAGAAGTGACATCAGCATCATGGAGGCATGAGCTCTCCCCTTAGACTCTCTGCTCTAAGAAACAACGAAAAACACACTCATACACCAACAGAGGACATTCACACAACACAAAAGATGTCTGAGAACACATGCAGCCATGTGTCTCAAGGTGAAGTTGTAAGACACCCCCAGAGGAAGTGGAAGGAGCTAAGGGAAATCCTCTCTCCCTTCTGAATGGCAGCAACCCTGGGATTGCTCATGGCTCTGAAAGGGGAGAGGTGCGGCCATAATCAGGAACATCACTGCTCTCCAAGTTCCCTCACAGCCAGTGGGAGAAGTCCCATAGAGTGGTAACTAAGCTATCACAGCACTGTCTTCATCAAGCTAGCACCCCAGGAGAGTGGATAGTGAGGGCCATGCAAGAACACCTCCAGAATCACAAAGGCAAAAGAAAGTGACTTCCCCCTGCTCAGTGCTCCAGTTCGGCCAGAGCGCTGCACAGAAGCAAAGCAGCCAAGAGCTACAGCAACGGAGACACAGATCACAGCAAGCTCAGAACACAGAGCTCTGACCCCTACCTACTGGTAGCAGGTAACAGTTGCGGTCAGATACTATCACTATACAGAGGCACAGATCCACACTGTCAAGCGATATGAAAAAATATCTTAAATCTCTAGACCAGAAGGCAAATGAGAAGTACCCAGAAATCAATCCTGAAAGCAAATAAATCTATAAATGACAGGGAATTCAAAATAGCTGATAAAAAACTCAACAAGTTGCAAGAAAATACAGATAAACAGTTGAATGAAATCAGGAACTTCTTCACAAAAGAGAGTGAAACTATAAAGAAGAACCAACCAGAAATTTTGGAGATGAAAAACACAATGGATGATATAAAGCCAAAAATGTGGATTCCCTGAACACTACAGCTGATATGATGGAGGACAGAATTAGCAATTTAAAGATTTTATTTTTTCCTTTTTCTCCCCAAAGCCCCCCAGTACATAGTTGTATATTTCTCGTTGTAGGTTCTTCTAGCTGTGGTATGTGGGACGCTGCCTCAGCGTGGTTTGATGAGCAGTGCCATGTCCGCACCCAGGATTCGAACCAACGAAACACTGGGACGCCTGCAGCGGAGCGTGCGAACTTAACCACTCGGCCACGGGGTCAGGCCCCAGAATTAGCAATTTAGAGGACAGAAATATAGAAATACTTCAGACGGAAGAAAGAGAACTAAGACTAAAATAAATGAAGAAATTCTCCAAGAAATATCCACCTCAATTAG